CCCCTCCCCGGGCATTGGTGGCTGCTCGCTCCCTCGCCGCTCGCCGCTCCGAGCCCGGAGCCGGCGGCGCGGGAGGTCGGCCCGCCTCTTCAAAGGCCCGGGGCGGGCCGGGGACCTGGAAGGCTCGAGCTAGCAGGGGCGAGCGGTCCGGAGGTCCGGATTCGGTGGTGAGTCCTCAGCCCCGGGCGGCCGCAGCCCCGGCAGCCGGGCGCGGAGCAGCTCGGGCTGGGAGGGGCGTGGACGGGGTGGGGAAGCGTGCGAGGAGGGGGATCGGGTCCCTGGCCCCGCTTGGGAGCTTGAGGCCGTGAGGCTCGATCGTGTGTGTGAGCCCTGAACATATCTAAGTGGGGCGCCTGGGCTCGGGGCCACTCCTCAGCGGGGCAGACTTCATTTTCCCCAGCACTAGGCGGTCCCCTCCGTGGGACCTGCCTCTCTACGGGGTTGAGGGGTCCTGTAGGATGAGCGGAGCCTGTGTTACGGCTCAGAGGGGTCTCGGATGGGAGGAGCCAAGGCCCCTCCTCCCATCTTCCCTTCGCCCCAGCCTCCTTTTGGTCAGTTCATTCTATTTGTGTGACCAGCAGGGCAGTGACTGTCGCTCTGAGTGTGAGGCTGTCTGCCTATATCTGTGTGTCTGTGTGTTTCTGAGTGTGTATGTGTGTGAGCCGTGATGAGAGTGTGTTTGTGTGTAGTGTTTCCCCCCTGCATCTCTCAGAGATAGGATCCACCCTCTCTTTTGCCCCGTTTGTTTTTTTCCCTCCAGATGTGCACCCACCTGCACACAGCTGGGCCCTGAGCCCCTCTGGGGAGGAGGGGCACAAACACAACTTTGCCTGGATGAGAATGGGTTCTTGGGTTTCGTGAGTGGGCTGACCTTTGGAGGTGTGGGGTAGGAGTGGGCAGAGAGGAGGTTTCTTCCCAGAAATAGGCTTGCCAGGCCCCTGGGGGCATGGGACCAGAGTTGGGGCCATGCCTGGGGCCCCTGAGTGCAAATAGAAAGTTAATTTGGGCAGGAGCTGAGCTGCAATCAGTCCTGCTGCCCTCCTGCCCGCTCTATTAATACAGATCCAGCTCTGCTGCCTGGCATCACCTATTTATAGCCCCAGAGGCAGCATAGCCACACCCCTTGTATAGAGGAGGGTGAGGAGCAGAGGAAGGGGCAGGGAACTCACAGCTATAGGGGCCAGGGCCGGGGTCCGTAGGTGCCCACAGCCTCCTTGGGTGGGCCTGGCACTGATGGGCTGGAATCCACCCAGACTCCCCACCTCCTTCCCAGTCTGGACTATGTGGTCAGGCTCCTGATCTGCCCCGCCCCCCACTCCCT